GAAGAGTTGAATTTAACCAGTGTAATGATTTTGCTAAATGAGTAGGAAAACATAAAAAGGTAAAGGTGCAACACAGTTGAGGATACATACAAACGAATGATTATAATGATTTACTTGGAATTTAAGAGAGGTGTTATGGATTTAATTGTGTCCCTCAAAAATATGTGTTGTAAATCCTAACCCCTGTATGTGTGGACGGAGACCTCGTGGCTCAGTGGTTAAGAGCTCGCCTGCTAACTGAAAGGCTGGCAGTTGGAAGCTACCAGCTGCTCCTTGGAAACCCTATGGGGCAGTTCTATTCTGTCCTATAGGGTTGCTGTGAGTCAGAATCAACTCGATGGCAAAGGGTTTAAATGTGTGGATGTAATCCCATTTGAGAATAGGGTTTTCTTTCTTATGCTAATGAGACCATATCAGTGTAGGGTGTTTTTTAAGCCAATCACTTCTGAGATATAAAATTGCAGATTAGGCACCAAAGCTAGGAAGCACAGATGCGGGAAGATAGATGCCGCGTCACATGAAGATCACCAAAGAACCAAGGAACAGAAGCTGGAAAGAGACAAGGACCTTCCCCCACAGCTGACAGAGAAGGCAAGCCTAGCCAGTGCCCTGGATTAGGACTTCTAGCCTCCTAAACTGTGATAAAATAAATTTCTGTTTATTAAAGCCACCTGCTTGTAGTATTTCTGTTATGGCAGCACTAGATAACTATGACATGGAGTAAGGAGATAAGTCCCTGGGTGGTGCAAATGGTTAATGCACATGGGGTCTCCATGAGTCGGAACTGACTTGACAGAAACTGATTTTCTTTTAAGGAGTTAAGACTTACAAGAGGTGAAGGATGATGAAAATGTGATGAAATCAATAGATTGGAGGTCCCAGCAGAGTTGAAAGGTTCTTGGAATTGGAGCACAGTACTAGAAAAATGCGCTAGAAAGACAGGAGCGGGTAGTCAGGAAGAAAACAGCATTACCTCTATTTGGGGCCAGCATTCTAGCATCTGAACATTCTATTGTTTGAAGGTCACTCCCTTTTTTGTTTGTATGAGGACAGGCGCTTTGCATGAGTACTTACTTCCCCTAAATTCTTATGGTCTCTCTCAATGAGATGATTCCATGAAACAGGGTCTTGTTTTTTCAAGAGTGAACAGAACCTGCAGACACACAGGCAGCAGGGGCTCTGTGGAAGGTTGTACAGTTTGTACACTGCACAAAGGACACCAGCTGAGGGGGCAAGTGGGGCTGAGATCCAGCCTGAGCTCTGCTTATTGAGCAGCAGCCCTTCACCAACTTTCTTTTTGTGCCCGCAAAGACACATGCCCTGCCCTCATGGGACTGTATTATGGATTGAACTGTGTCCCTCCAAAAGACATGTTGAAGTCCTAACCCCCTCTTCCACATACCTGTGAATGTGACCTTGTCTGGAAATAGGGTCTTTGAAGATGTCATCAGTTAACACGAGGTCATACTGGAATAGGGGGGATCCTAATCCAATGAGTAGTGTCCTTATAAAAGAGAAGATACACAGAGGGAAGACAGCATGTGAAGATGGAGGCAGAGACTGGAGTGATTACAAGCCAAGGAATGCCAAGGATCACCAGCTGTCACCAGATGTTAGGAGAGGGGAATGGAACAGAATCTCCCTCAGAGCTCTTAGGAGGAATCCACACTACTGGCATCCTGAATTCGGACTTCTAGCATCCAGAACTGAGACAATAAACTTCTGTTCTTTTAAGCCACTCATTTGTGGTACACTGTTATGGCAACCCTAGGAAACTAATACAGGCTTTTCCTAGAGAGATGCCTTTTCTCATTCTTGGAAGCATGCTGCGTAAGCCAGTGCAGTCCTGATGAAGACAGCACATGTGCTATGAGGTTTTACCCAGAGGGCTGGAGTGAGGAGGGAAACGTGTTCTTCTGTTAAGAACTCCTTTGTGGATGTGTATTCTCTATGTACTTCAAGTGTTGTCTTTTTGAAAGAGATCCATTATAACATTTTCTCAATTATCTGCATACAGTAGCTCTTTAATACAGTTTTTATTTGAATAATTGAGTTTCCCCCTTAACCCCACCCCCCTAAATACATGGCTTTCTAGATGATTGCTATTTCAGGAAAATGACCCTAAAACAGACAATATACAGGTCATTATTTATGGATCACAGCCACCTCCAATACTTCTTGTCCATTTATTAGAAAAATCTCAGAAGCTTAGACTAATATAAAGCATTAAAAAAATAGTTGAATGATTATTCTGATAAGCACTGTCAAAGAGTGGACAGAAATTGGCTAGAGAGGTGATAGGAGTAAAAAGAAATCTACTTGCAGATTCGCTATTTTAAGGTCTTTAATATATCAGTTCATTTTGAGATATATTACTCGTCAATGGTTCTTGAGTTTTCAGGTATTTCAGTTAATGCAAATGTTCACTGTCACTCTTAAAATGAGTATTAAACTGCATACAAAAATATCTGCAAAGGCTTTTTGGTGGGAGGGGGGTAGGAATTCTAGCAATAACCACTAATTGAATTAAAAACATAATACAGAACAGAGCTTTGCAGAGACAAAATAGCCTAGGCCCTCTATAAGCAAGTGTTAATACATAAGAGGAGCCTACAACTTGGAGACCTAACAAAAACAGCCTCTTTTCAGCACATTTACACACTCAGTAGTTAATCCAGGGAATGTTATGAGGTAGTTCAGTATCAATTCCTCTAGTTTAACGGTAACAGAGAATGAAAGATTAAGGCTATTCAACTAAACCAAGATAAAAATCAAGAATCTCCACCCTCAAGCTATTTCTGGATTATTTATGTGAAGAAACTGCAAGCTCTCTATGGTGTTCTCCCTTTACACACATGGAATATTTTCACCAACACAGAAAACAGTGCTGATTCTGATACTGCAAGCACAACACAATTCTCAATCATTCTCCATTGGGTAAGCTTTCGCCAAGGCCACGCTACTTTGTTCTCAACCCCTTTGATGACATCATTATTTCCTCTTTGATCTTCACCTAGAAATGCAATGTTTGGACAAAGAAGGGGAAGGAAAGAAAGAGAAGGGGAAGAGTGTGAGTAACAGCAAAGCAGCAGGGATTAGAATGGGGAAACTGGAAGGCTTTTGCACAGCACCTGGTATGTTTTTCCATGGAGAACGCTCATTATTTTATTTAATGTTTGATTTATTTGATGTTCCCGAACATCAGCCAAATCCCTAGCCAACTTCCGTATAAAACTGCATGTTAAAGCAAAATACAATTTTCCCCCAAATAATTTGGTAGTAATAAATTATCTATGCCATTATTTATGCCATTTGTATGGAAATTAAGACCTAACTGCAATATGCTTTACACTTTTGTTCCCGAGTCCTGGTCCTGAGGATGACGAACCCTAAATGAATATGTCATTGATTTGAGCAGACTGAGCAACAGATTAATTTTAATTAAGTCATATTTGATTCATGGCAGAGAAAATGTTACATCAGAATTTGTAGTAACTTTAGAATGTGCTCTGACACGGAAACACAGTGAAACCTGTGAAAGCCAGAACTTGGCAGACTGCCTTGTTTTTCTAGGTCTTGCAAGTTTTCCACCTTTGATGGGGTGTAGTCACCACTTTTCTATCACTCTCTATTTAGTAAAAATATTTGAGTTTTCCTTCTCTGACAGGTTTCTGCCTTACAACAGGTTCCAGCTTTCACAAGTTTTACTGTATTTGAAGTTAGACTAAAAAAAATGTGTTTAACAACTTTGATTTACTATTCCATGGATGGATGTGTGTTGGGGGATAGTCTTAGACTGTGCATTTGATATGTGTCTGATTACTATAACAAGGTTTCTTCCCCAATACCAGTTGACCAGTTGCTGTTGAGTTGATTCCAACTCATGGTAACCCCATATGTTCAGAGTAAAACTGTGCTCCAAAGGGTTTTCAATGGTTGATTTTTTGGTAATAGATCACCTAGGCCTTTCTTCCAAGGTGCCTCTGGGTAGACTTGAACCTTCAACCTTCTGGTTAGCAGCTGAGTGTGTTAACCATTTGCAACACCCAGGGACTCCTTCTTCCTCTATACTATGGTACATATTAGTACAAAACGTTAGTATACTGACTATAAGATCTGCATAAAAGTAATAAAGTTAATACCTCAGCCAATAAGCCAGAAACTCTTACGCCGCATGAAGGTGCAGCTTTTGCTGTGCTGCTCAGCCAACAGTATAGTTATTCAAGGTTTTGTTTTCTTTCACACCATGCATTCATTTCCCTTTGATTTAATCATGGGATGTGCCTGGTATTTTCTTTAACATAAACTATTTTAAGGGTCAATTTTATGCCTAAATCTCTTCAGATTCATCCTATTAATTACAATAAACTCAGGCAGACATTAATCCAATTTGAATAACCACATACGAATGAGCCTACAACACCATCCAGTCCAGAGTTTGAGTTCGTTCCATTCATGAAGGCTTTTTATGCATAAATATAAAACGTTTTAATTTTAGATGCTTTTACTTCTAAGATTGGTTCTCTCTTGAAAGAGATGTCAAAGAAGTATTAAATAAAAAGTCTTCAAAACTTTGTTAGGCTATGATTTGAGCGGGACTTCAGTGGAAATGACTATTGATGTTTATATATACCGGAGATCTGTTTTATGGTAATATGTGAAAGTATAAACTAATCAATAAAATCATTTTTCCATGAAACTATCAGTGTAAAATAATATACTATTATTATTTTCAAAGACTATTCTGCTTTTATTGGAATGAAAGAAACATTTATTGAGCACCTACTAGACTGCTTATTATATAGTCCAGTTCATTTGTCCCTAACAGACTACCACAGCCCCAGATTATTTTCTCTCTTCTTGTGTGTATGCATGTGTGTTTGATGATGTTTATCCAGGTTAGTTTGCTTTTGAAGTGGCTTGGAGGAGTCTCATCTACTTTTCTTCAGCTGGCTTGTTTCATAAAGCATCTCTGGAAGCAGACACAGCAATCCCAGGTGTGTCAAAAGTATTTCTTCTCTGAAGACACTTTAAGATTCATTTTCTCAAGGGGGATGGCTTTGTTCATTAAGGGAGGACTTTGGGGTATAAAAACAGAACAGAGAGTTTCAAACAGTTCTACAGAAACTGTACTTTGGTCTCTAGACTTCTTTGTCCTTAGGAATTAAGTCTGTCACCTAGTTTACATTCTTCATGGCTTAGCTTATCTTAAAACAAAAATGGCAAGAAAGCTTTCCTATGCTTTGGGTAGGAGACAAATTTGCTTTTGTAGAATTTGTGGCTGAGGAAAGCAGCCAGGGCCTGGCTGAAGAAGACGTATGTTACCACCAGCCACCAAGTTATGTTGTGGAACCCAAAGGTGACGGCCATGGAAATGTAGATCATCAGCTCTGCTAAATAGTTAGGGGAAGAAACATATTCAAACCAGTCTCCAAAAGGAATTCTGTAGTTACAGTGAATGACCACTCCTGAAATTGAGAAAAAAACTTCATTAGCATTAATTTGGAAAGTTTTACCGCTTTACTCCCCAAATCATTTATAAAAACTCTTATTTAGAAAAGAGTTCCACACATTTGTGTGCAAACCACCATCCTGTCTCATACTTCCATTGTCAATCTTCTACATATTAAAAGTCACATGCTTAGGTTACACTATCAACTATTAATAAAGCACAAAAAAGGAAAGTCCGTTTATCTAGCAATCCTCAAAACTCGTAATTAAGAGCACAGGCTCTGGAGCCAGACTGTATGAGTTCAAATCCTGATTCTGCCATTTACTAGCTGTGTAACTTTAGATAAATTACTTAATCTCTCTGTGCCTCAATTTCGTCATCTATAAAATGAAGATAAGATTGTACCCATCACATGTGGGCATTGTGAGGCTGTATACAGAGCACTTAGAACAGGACCGAGCATAAAATAAGCACTTGATAAATGTTACATATTATTATTTCATTTTTAACATTTCAAAAAGCCTAATGAAAAAAACTGCACCTGTGATATGTCACCACACGTTAACTAAACAGTCAAGCTTTTTTTGCTTTGGTTGGAATGATACTAACTCAGCAGGGTAACACTAGCTCTCACAGGCCGATCAGACACATTGGGGCCGTGCAGGCCCCAACATGTGGGCACAGAATAGAATCATGGATTGTCAGGCCAGATGGCACCAGAGACAGCTTTCAGCGTTAACCCTCTCATTTTACAGATAGGAAGATCAAGACCAAGAGAAGTGTCCTGACAAAAACAACCATTTGATAAATGAGACTACTAATTGGGCAGGAAGGAAAAGAATGAAGGAACACAGACAACTAAATTCTGAGGGTTAAAATCCACTTGCGGTGGCTCTAAAAGATATCTCACCTGCTTTGTTTTTCCTGAGATTGCCGAGAATTACATGGCACTTATACTGATGGGCAGATGACCAGATGAACATCAGCATTCCGAGGATATGGAACCACCGTGCTTGCATCAATAGATTCTTCCCTATTACATACGCTACAGAAATAAGAATTATCTTATTAGCCAACTGCAAAAATTCAGCTCAAGTGATTAAAATATCATCCAGTCACTTAGCAGTAGAACCTAATTACCCACTTACTCTGTTCCTTATGACTAGGAAATTATCCTGATGTAACTTCCCAAGTACAGAGGGGTGAACACCTTCTTTCTGGACAGAGGAGATATGCTCCCTAGCCGTGGGCAGCTTCAGTGGCCCCTGGCAGAGAATTCCATACATTCTCCGGCTCCTTCAAATGCTTCAAGCACATAGTTCAGCTCTGGCTTCTACTCTCATGATCTATACTCGTGTGCTGAGACTACTTTGTGTTTCTATTTCTAAGCCTGGTTTTAAGTTCTATTTCTTACATTCTACTGTCTGGAAAACACTTTATAAAGAGAACCCTCCCTGAGATACCATACTAAACCATCGCTAGGGAGACCGTGGACGCAGAGGGCTGACTATACTGGCTCCAGCCGGTGAAGTAAATCACTGGTGGAAAAGGTTAAAGGTGGGGCTTTTCAAAAAGAAGATACATGTAAACTGTGAGATGAAAAGTAAAATGGTATCTTTTTCTCATTAGAAAGAACCTAGTCAGAGAGATTTAGTTTCAGGAGAAGAAATACTCCAAGTATCATCTCCTCTTTCTTCTCCAGCTACCAGGAAGAAGGAAAGAATACAGGCCATCCAAGGACCTGAAGAGCAAGCCACCGAGCGTCAGAAAAGCAAATGAAAGACTTCCCTAAGATTAGCAGGAAGGAGTCAGACTAATCAGGGTCTTGACTGAAGAAACAAAGTTGTCCATGGACAATGGGGAAGAGTCCGAGGGCCTGGAAGAAAGAGGGAGTCCCTATTTGATTCAAGTAAAAGACCCAATGGCTCATTCTACTCCACACAGGTACCTAGAGATAGAACACAGTTGATAATAGTTAATGACTAAAGACAATCCAGAGTCCCTGGGTGGTGTAAAGGGTTAACAGCTTGGCTGCCAAACGATAGGTTGGAAGTTGGAGTCCATCCAGAGGTACCTCAGAAAAAAGGCCTGACAATCTACTTTTAAAAAAAATCAGTATTGAAAACCCTATGGAGCACAGTTCTACTTTTACACGTGGGTTCTCCGTGAGTCGGAGCAGACTTGATGGTAACTGTTTTTTAAAATCTGTATAATATTTAATTATTCCTTTATCAATTAATTGCCAATTGAGTATCTATTGAGCCTGGAATTGTTGTAGACACAAGCGAGAGAGCAGTGAATAAGTCAGGCAAGATTCCTGTCCTCATGAAGCTTACATTCTAGTGGCAAGAGGCAGACACAAATAAAGAAATCAATAAACAAGATAATTTCAGCTAGAGACAGTACTCTGAAGAAAAGAGTTTTCTGGAGGAAAACCCTTGGTGGAAGTGACATTTGACCTTAGACTTCAAAAAAGGAGACTTGTGAAGATCTGGGCAGTTTATTCTTGCTTTTGTTCTTTCTTTTCACTTTCACAACAATATGTGAAATCAATATGTGTACCTAATTTACACATAAAAGTAGGAGGCTCAAAGAGGTTAAATTAAGCCAGAATTCAGACTTGGGCCTGTCTGACTCCCAAACCTATATATCTATCTTTGCTATTAGTAAATGCCCCAGTGTGATCTCTCTCAGTGAATTATTGAGACCAGTTCTTCTTCTATCACCCCAAGTGACCCCAGATGAGTTCTTGAAGGTCAAGTGGGTCAAATTAAAAAACATCTTCAGAAGGGAGTATCCAGAAAGATGCTTCAGCTCCTTTCCTTGACTATATAGGAGGGAAGGCAGAAGTTGGGGTCCAGACACCAGAGGAAACCCCAGAAGATAAATGTAATGCCAAAAGAAACGAATAGATTGAAAACTAGTAGGTTACCAAAGTGCTTTAGAGTTCCTTCTGAGTGGAAAACTGTTCACCAAAAATGACAGCTCAAACCATGACACTGAGCTGAAAATGTGAATGTCACAGCAGAGAGACCAGGGTGAAAAAATTGACTAGACTGAGTTCAGGGGAATTAGGTAGAAAGATTTGAGCTGAGTGGTCAGAGCCAATAAATAATTCACAAATTGAGAAAGACTGTCGATAAATCGTATTTTAAAATCATTCCTCAAACCAGAGATCTTAGATTGTACCACAGCAACAGAGAGAGGACTTTCAAGAGGCACTCGTGACCCTGAAATCAAACCTGAGGAGGAAGCTCACTGCAGTGTTGGAAATAGCTAGCCCTCAGTCTCCGTTTACATGGGTAGACAGGGCTGCTTTAGAAAACACAGAGCCTTGGACTTGAAAACAGTCATGGAAGACCTGTCTGGGCTGATGGATACCAAGGCTGCAAGGCCATGTTTACCTCGGCACTACAAACTCATTTCAATAACCCAGATTATCTGGACTCCTTGTATTAAGCATTTATTGTTTTTTTTTATAAAAGAGACAGTCATTATTTTAGATAACAGAACAACCCACCCCTTCAAAAAAAAAAAAAGCAAACTGCATTTCCTTCTTATAAACCAAGGTCATGATATTGCTTCCCCCTTCCTGGCTAGTGAGAGTTTAGAACGTTAAGACACAATTTTCTTTTCCCCTCAGGCTGCCTCACTTGAAGGAAAGATTTGTTATCATGGGGGCAATCACAGGACAAAAGAACAAAAAAATGGCTCCCCACTCCCTCTTCAAATTAAAAGTGTTCACCACAACCCCAGCCCAACCTCCTTCTTTTCTCATTTTCTATGATTTAACCTGCACCACAGCTTTCCCTCCATCACCCTCATAAGCCCCATCCCCCTTCCCAGGCACCCCAGACACCCGAGGTGAGGCAACCTTTTGCTGACCCTTTCTCCTATTCTTGGGTGCTCTGCTGCTTCCTGTTCAACTCTTTCCCAGCTTCTCTTCCTTTCCAGACTAACTCTAGTAACTTCAGGAAACCCCAAACCCTATTTCTTCATTCTAGATGGAGCTTCCTGAATACTCTGCACTTTACTATCTTTATTGAAGGCATTACTTGCTGCTAAAGTTTTGAAGTAATGGTTACTGTATATGTCCTTGGGTATGTTAACTTTAAAAAAACAAACAAACTACTATTAGAGTCTAAACTCCTCAAAGGCAAAGTAGATGAGCATTGCCTCCTACTTTTAAACCTCTCATAAAATGGTTAGTGGAGCATTTTGCCTGACGAGCGCCTCATACACCCTGTGACTCAACTAACAAACCCAGAGTTCCTGGCCTGACAGTGACCACTCACCATTCCTGCCATCCATTGGCACTTGGCTCAGCACAGTGAGGCCGATGAGAACATAGTAAACAAGTCCAAAACAGTACTGCACGACATTAATCATGGCATTGGAGAAGACACTGACGTAGAAGCACTCAAAGAGTCTTCGCAAGCTGTGCAGCCACAGAAATACCAACACTAAGAATGCAGACAGTGCCAGCTCACCTCCTACAAATCAGAATGCAACACATTCAGCATCTCTCTGCTAGGACCAATCGAAAGTTATGCTTTTCCCTATTGTTAAACAGAGGCAACTTTTTGCTGACCCTTTCTCCTATTCTTCGGTGCTCTCCTGCTTCCTGTTCAACTCTTCACCAGCAAGATTAGAGTTAGGAAAGGCCGCTAGAAATCATCTAGTTTAATGCCTTCCTGTTTTTGGTTTTTTTTTTTTTAGCAATGAGGAAATGGGCCAAGAGAAGCCAAGGAATTTGGCTCAAGGTTACACTGTATGTTAGTGACAGAGGTTGGACAAACCCAGGTCCCTTGACTATGTTATCCTGTGAGAGTCTCCCAAGCTAGGAGGACATCACTGTTAAGGGTCTGTGCACTCTGGTTCCTGGCCAAACCTGTTGCTGCCGAGTCAGTTTCAACTCATGGCAACCTATGTATTACAGAGTAGAACTGTTCCATAGGGTTGTCTTGGCTGTAAGGCATACAACAACAATAATCTTTACAGGGAGTTCCTGGGCGATGCAGACCGTTAAGCGCTCGACTACCAGCTGAAAGGTTGGCGGTTTGAACACACTAACCCATATAATCAGCACCCAGATCAAGAAACAGGACATGACCAGCACCCCTTTGTGTTCCCTTCCAATTACCACTCCCTGCCTCCCACAACCCCAAATGTAGCCCCCTACCCTGACTTCTATCAGCCTAGATTAGATTGTCCTGTTTTGGTCATTTTAAATAAATTAAAACCTACCTTTAACTCTCTGGTAATAGATTAAAACAACCAACCAACCAAATAAAACCCCTCACAGCCAACACTCCAAATAGCACAACCAGCCCCACAGTAAACAAAAGGAAGAGATATAGTTTACATGAGTGTGAAGAGCGATTGATTCCCTGAGGTATCCTTCCCTCCCAAAAAGGATGTGCGTGGGCTTTCTCTTCTGATTGTCATCTTTTGCAACAAGTTCCTCTGGTTACACAGAAAAAGATTACTCTAAGGGAGCCAGTGGTTTGGCTGTTGGAAAAAGGACAGAGATAGGACCAGAACAATTTGTTTCTAATTCTGCTCCTCACACTCTCCCTGACCTTAGTTTAGGCCACTTCATATCCTTCACCCTCAATGCCTTATTTTAAACATTGTTCTAAGTATCCTTTATTCGACGCAGAGTGAGGCAAACTTAAAGTCTATTTTGCCAACAACTATTTACAGTCAACTTTCTTATAAAACCAGAGCCTCACAGCATAACAAACCTTTTTACATGTTTACCAAAAAGTAATTTTCTATCAAATTTCTGGAGTTCTGAGACATGATTTTGGTTGGAACTATAGAAATGATAAATGTTTCAAGGCAAACCTGAGGGATCTTAATGCTTTTTCCCTTGAGTGTAAAGGCTTCTTTATAAATTTATCAACAACACTAAAAATATCAGACGGAGAACAGCCAGTCCCAGACAAAGTTCTGCGCCTGTGGAGAAGCCAGGAGACCAAGTGCTAGCTAACTTTTGGCTCTGCCATCTTTTCAGCAAAGGACTTAGGGTCAGCCCCTTGGCCATCCCTCTATGAATCACGCAAAACTCGTTTTGCTCTCACCCTCCCCTTGCTAGGCCCAGTGGGGAAGAGGCTGAGACTGGCTTGGAAACACCCGGAACAGCTTCCCTGCAGACAGAAAGGGCAGACCCAGGATGCAGTGGTTGTAGTTAGCCAGGGAAGTTGTTACCTTGGAACTGGGAAGCCCCAAGAATTCTGAGCAAACCATGAAGCCAGTTCGGAAAAGGTGCTCCCAGAAAAAGAGGCTGAATAAGGCACCAAAGCAGGAAACCATTCCACACCACAGAGACGATATAGAAATGTGAAAAATACCTGCAAAAGGAAAACAATAATCAGGGTAACAACAACAACAAAAAACCAAACTCATTGCTGTCCAGTAGATTTCAGCTCAGGGCAACCCCATGTGTTACACTGTAGAACTGCTCCATAGGGTTTTCTTAGCTGTAAGCCCTGGTGGCATAGTGGTTAAGAGTGATGGCTGCTAACCAAAAGGTTGGCAGTTCAAATCCACCAGCTGTTCCTTAGAAATCCTATGGGGCAGTTCTACTCTGTCCTATAGCGTCACTATGAGTTGTAACGAACTCGATGGCTCCTAACAACAACAATCTCTATGGAAGCCTACTGCAAGGCCTTTCTGCAGCGCTGCTGGGTGGGTTCAAACCATCAATCTTTAGGTTAGTAGGCAAGAGGAAACTGTTTGCGCCACCCAAGCCGTTATGCAGGAAGATTATTTTCAGTTTTCCTATCCGCTTGCCCACACTTCCAAATTATATTTTTACTTTTTAATAGAACTTGAATTCTGCAGGTGTTCAGGTTTTTAAAATTTCCTTTCAAACGATGGAACCAGTTAACTCATAGGAAAAAGAGGGCGTCTCTGAGGTGAACAAGAACAAAACTGACCTTGTTAAACTTAGACTGAGGGTCAGTTAGCAACCTCTCTTGTCTCTGGATAAGGAGTCCTGGTGGTGCAGAGGTTAAGCACAAGGCTGTTAACTGAAGGGTCGGTGGTTTGAACCCCCCAGCCGCTCGAGCAGTCTGCTTCCATAAAGATTTACAGCCTTGGAAACCCTATGGGGAAGTTCTACTCTGTCCTACAGGGTCACTATGAGTCAGAACAGACAGAAATGGGGTTTCCTCATCTCTGGGTAATAAGATTGGGCTCAAGTTCCAAAGAAAAGGCCACAGGCCCAGGCAGAGAGCACAACCTAGATTTTGCTAACGCATGCCCAATCTGTGAAAGATTTCTACATCCCAGGCAATGTTGCAGCAATAGCCACACAACAAGATTTTCACAATCACAGAGGAACTCTTAAAGGTTTTCTAAAGCAGTGTTTTTCTAAATTGTACTGACTATGAGTAATTTTTATCATAACGTGACAAATATTATAGTCAGAAAATTAGGTATCAACCTCATTGGTTACAGTTCTCATACAACAGCGGTGGCTATTTCACAGTTAACACATTTACAGATTAAATGAAAAATAAACTCACAAAACCAATAACCTTCACATTATCAACGTTAGTTTAATGTAAAAGATGATGTTAATTTGCTGAAACAAAACCACCTAATAGGGCACAAAGGCCATAGCACAGGTTCTTTGGAGGCCCCTTTACCTGCATTTCCTCATGATTTTTCTCTATTTAAACCAACTGAAAACCTTTCTGACTCTATAGTGTGCTTGAGGTCATTTGGCCTTCCCTGGGGCATCACGTTTATTTGTTTTCTCACTAGCCCGTGACAATGAACGTAAGACACCCCGGAGCCAAGAGAGGAGTAAACATAAACTCAGGTGTTCCTCTAGGTGATCCAGAATATCCTTATAAGAGAACTCATAGACCCCTAAACCACAGCACCCCACTTCTACCACTGGAGCTGTCCTCTCTGGCCATACAGAACAAGGATAATTTTTAATTCCATGCAACAGCTCTTAAATTATTTGATGAGAGCCCTGCTGTTATTTCTGATTCTGATCATCTCCAGACCCAAGAGCCTAGTTTCAAGCATCAGGATCAATGCCCTGCCCCCTTGGCTGCTGGCTCCTGGTTGCGATCCAGGGTCTTTCTTAAGACACAGTTCCCAGAACTGAGCCCAAGTATGATCTAAGCAGACAGAGCAGAGCGGAAGTCAGCAGCACCTTTGGTCTGCAGGCTCCCACGAAAAGGGGAGGGGCCAGCTTCTGAGGAGCAACTTCTGGGCCAGCCACTTCATCTACTTAATTTTTTCACAAATATTTATTGAGCACTTACAAAGTGCCAGGCAATGTTCTAAGAGTTGGGGACATAGCAGGGAGCAAACAGAACACGTCCTTGCCTTGATGAAGTTTACATTTCAGGGGAGAGTCAGAGAGTCTACAGCTAAACCTTAAGACACCTAGCATCATGTTGGATGGTGACACAACAGGGTGAGGGGATGGAGAGGGAGTGCAGGGGAGGCTATTCTGGATGAGTGGTAAAGGGTGGGCTCTCCGGAAGCCATATATGCCTAGAACGAGTAACCCTTATGGATTTTTTGGGGAAGAATTTCTTAGGCAGAGGAAAGAACCACCACAAAGGTCCTGCGGTGGGTGCATACCAGGTGTGTTCAAGGACAGTAAAGGACACCTGTGTGACTGATGTGGAGTAAGGAAGGGCGAGAGTGGCATGAGGGGAAGTCGGAGGTGAGCAGGCAGATGACGCAGGGCATTGTAAGGAAGCTGGCTTTTATTAAGTGTGATGGGGAGCTGTTTGAACAGAGATGTGGCTTGAACTGAGGTCTCTAGACGACGCAAATGTTTTGCGCTCAACTGCTAACCCACCCAGTGATACCATGGAATAAGGGCTTGACAATCTGCTTCTGTACAGATTACAGCCAAGAAAATCCATGGAGCAGTTCTACTCTGTTTAACACATGGGGTCACTTTAAGTAGGAATCAACTCCACAGCAACATTATTTTTTTTTTCTTGGTGACGAATTTATAACTTAAGATGTTTAAAAGAACCCTCTGGCAACTAAAGAAGTCCCTTGTGGTGCAAAACAGTCAACGTGCTTGGTTGCTAACTGCAAGGTTGGAAGTTCAAGTCTACCCATAGAATAAACGCCAGGAGATCTACTTCCAAAAAATGAGTCATTGAAAACCCTACAAAGCACTGTTCTACTCTGACACACATGGGGTCATCATGAGTCAGAACTGACTTCCTGGCAACTGGTTTGGTTTTGGTTTCTGGCAACCAGGTTGAGAACAAAGAGCCTAGGGGTGGCGTGGGGTGGGGGTGCAGAGTGAGCCTAGAAGACCAGTTAAGATTATTTGATTTCATCTTGACAACAGTTTTATAAAGTTTATGTGGTTATCTTCAAGTGGCAGATGAGGAAACTAAGGCTCAGAGAGGTTAAGTTACTTATCAAGGTCACAAAGTAAGTGGCAGCATTTGGTGCCAGACTCAGCCCTGATGACTCTGAAGTTAACCCTTTCTTATCCAGCGGTACAAATAGTGACCATGAACTTTTTCAGCCTCTGGGGTTTTTCGGGAAGCTGCCGGAGTCAGTGCTGCCGCAAGGCAGGGGCCTTTGTGACTGTTTGAAACCAAAGAAATGGGTGTGTGCCGCAAATTACTGCTTTTACAGAGTATTGCGTGAGGTGTCTGAATTTTTGGAAGGAAAAATAGAAATTATGGAAGTTTTTATTTGTTACACATATGTACCAATAGATCCCCATGGGGACTCTGGGGTATAATTAATGATACTTCGTATGTACCACTGTTGAGCCCTGGTGGCAAAGTGGTTAACAGCTTGGCTACTAACCAAAAGGTAGGCAGTTCCAATCCACCAGCCGCTCCTTGGAAATCCTATAGGGCAGTTCTTCTCTGTCCTGTAGGGTCACTATGAGTAGGAATAGACTCAACAGCAAGGGGTTATATGTACCACTAAACACTTAGGGTAGGCTTGTGGGAGGGGGCAAGAAAAAAAGAATCCATACTACCTACCAAAAATTCAGACACACTTAATGATTCAGCATGCCTCCATTAATGAAAACACATGGTATCAACAAAAAATTCGAAGCAGAAATTAATTGGGTCATCAAAGGGTTAAAATCACATCATCGTGGCCCTATTTACTATTCACCTACAATTGCCTGAGCCTGCTTTTCTGGGCCCTCCATGACGTGTACTGATTTATATCAAGCCTAGAGGTAATTAAATCATTCAAGTGTGTTTTGTACAGGCTGGTAAACCACATCTTGCTGTGTTCTACTTGTGCCACGGTGTTTTTGATTCACGGGCAAATTGTTTTTGTACATTCTCTCTCTTGTTTTGCTTACTCACTTTCCTTCTGTAGAAAACATTTTCTATTCTTTATACCAAGTCATATCTCTTACTTTTTAAAAAACCTAGCTCAAACTTTGTAAAGCAGATGTAAAAATGCACTTGTTTCTGTTTTAGACAATTAACTGTCTAAAAAGGTTTTCTAATACAGTGTCTGTCTGCCTTACTAGCATACAAACTCCAAAGAGCCTAAGATAGCTTCTAGCACATGGTCTACACTCTATAAATACTGGTTGTTATGGACTGAACTGTGTCCCACCAAAATACATGTTATAAACTCTAACCCCTATACCTGTGGTTACAATCCCATTTGGAAATGGGTTTTCTTTGTTATGTTAATGTGGCAGGCTTAGTGTAGGGTGTGTCTTGAGTCAATCTCTTTTAGGATATAAAAGAGCAGATTAAGAAGGCAGTTGGGGGAAGATAGACGCCACGTCACATGAAGGTCACCATGACTGCCAAGGAATAGAAGCTGAAAAGAGACAAGAACCTTCCCCCAGAGCAGAGAGAGAAAGTCTTCCCCTAGAGCTGGTGCCCTGAATCGACTTCTGGCCTTGTAAACTGTGAGAAAATACATCTCTGTTTGTTAAAGCCATCCACTTGTAGTATTTCTGTTATAGAAGCACTAGGTAACTAAGAGGAGCCCTGGTCACACAGTGGTTAAGAGCTGGGCTGCTAACCAAAAGGTCGGCAGTTTGAATCCACCAGCCGCTCCTTGGAAACCCTAGGGGACGATTTTACTCTGTCCTGTAGGGTCGCTATCAGTAGGAATCAACTCGACAAAAACGGGTTTAGGTAACTAAGACACTGGTTAAATAAGTGAATGAAAGAGAAGGTAAGTCTCTCTCACCCAAAGTTACTCACAGAGTAAGCTCTGGGGTTAATCAACAAACAAAATAAACCAAAAACCTTTCTTTGGTCATTCATTCAAAAAATACTAAAGGCCTTATTAGTCAGGCACTGTGCTAGGGATATAGTAATAAACACAGCAAATTCCTCATGGAAAATTTACAGTCTAGAGTGGAGTTCTTAAACCATTGTTCTGCCATGGACCCCTCTGGCAGTCTGATGAAGACTATGGGCCCCTTTTCAAAACATTATTAAAAGCGTAAAATGAAACACGGAGGAATCACAAAGGAAGCACATTATATTGAAATACAGGTATCAAACTATTGAAAAACAAATCTGTGATACAGTCACATGTGCTTCTTATAACAAGATGAAATAACAAGATCTAGTAGTAAGTGAGGATGGCGCTGCAGGACAGGGCAACATTTTGCTGTTATACATAAAGTCGCTATGAGTTAGATCCAACTACGTGGCACCTAACAACAGTGGTAAGTCTACTAACTGGAGTATTTTTGAAGTAGTGATAAGAACAATATTTTGCAGTATCTTCCATATTTTTAATGTAATCCAAAAAAACCTGTGACAAAGTCACAAGTACTGATAATTCTATGGTTTGTTGTTTACATTCACAATTAAGGAAATGCTAAATTTCATCTAGAGGTTAGTAAAAATAAAGCTGTAATTTTTTTTCCAACCCAAGTTCACCCTAAATTTGATGCACAGACCCCACTGAACCTCTGGTTAAGAACTCCTGAACTCCAGTGGGGAAAATCCAGATGTCTCTCTGCTGTCTTCAGAGCCCAGCTCAATTGCAATGCTTCATACCATAGTGTCTGTGCTTCCACAGACACTATGCAAGTCAAGAGTACTATGACCCATGTTTGTGATCACCCATCTCTTCAGATTTTCTGGGAAATCAAACTCTAGAAACCAAAGGGAAAACAAAAGAAGCAACCATCACCTAAAAATACCCATCTACCAGACAAGGGTAATGGAAACAAAAACATTCCATGAGCTGATTTAAGGTTTTATTCTTGCCTGCCTTAGGAAAACTAATTCCAAGCAAAATTACCTAAAGACTGTCTTATGTGCAAAAATGTGACTTATAGCTTCCTATTTAAAATCAGGCTTATTTTCACTTTTAAAGTACTATTAAAATTTGCACAAGGAAAAACATTTAAATATAACTATCTCAGCGAAGGCTACCCAGTACTTCCAAATCTGGATTAACCACGATATTACTAAATGCCACAGTCTGGGGATAAGTCCATGCCCAGTGATTCCTCACACCTGGAGAAAGATCTTCCCTTTGAGGCATGCCAGTGGTTAAGAGATCCAAGTTTAAATTCCCACTGGTGGGGTTCAATTACCAACCACAACACCTAGTAGCACTGTACCAATGGGCAGCTGATCTCTTGTAAGCATCAGTTTGCACATCTTTAAATGGGAATAATAACATCCCCTCCTGGGTCTGTTGAAAGGATTAAATGAGGAAAGGAATATACAGGACAAAGTAGTCATCATAATGTATTAAAAGACCAATAAAATCTCTCCTCTGCTATTAACTGCTAATAGCTCCTTGGTCATTAACACTTAGTGCTTATTTTTTCCTGATGATAATAGTGAATTGTCACTGAAGACAATCTGGAAAACAAAGAGAAGCATAAAAGACGCTATAGAATCTTACTTCCACCTCACTCTAACCACCCCCCCTTTCACATAAATAAAAGCAAAAAATTAAAAAGGAAAGTAATATATATATTAACTTTGTTTTGGACATGGGCTCTTTTTTGTCTCAATAAAAATACCTTTCATTATTGGCCTGGATTTGTTGTACCTTCTCCAGGACTAAAAGAAACGTTGGTTTAAATTTAGGAAAAGAAAAACAGCAACAACACAAAAAACCCCAGCACCTGAACACCATGGGATGTTCTACTCTAGAATTCTGGAAGAAAAAGGCACAAATTATTTCATAATACTGTATTGTAGAAATTACAAGAAGTCCAAGGAGAACCAATTTTTGTAGTAATAAATAAGGAAAGGTACCAAGGTTTTTTCTCGGCATCCTGTACAGCTGCGGTACAGGATCCAGAGATGTAGCTGAGTACAGGGAATGATTTTAAATGTATCTTTCAACCCAGGGACACTAGTACATTTTTCAAACTTAGAAACTAAATTGTTAGAACTCATATTCTCTAAGAAAAAAATTTTTTTTTCACTTTGTAACTTAAAAAAAGTGACCATCTAGGCGTGCCACAGCTATTAAGAAAGGAAGTACTGCAATCAAATCTGGCTCAAAATACGATGACAGGCAATTTCCACTTAAGAGCCTCTAAGAAATACGCAGTTTTACCAGTCTGGCTGCATACTTTCACGTCTTCCCAGAATTTCATTCCCTTTAACGGCTAGTTCTCCCTTTTTATTAATCCCTGATCAATCCTTCCCCTACGTCTACATTTCAGAAACCAAGTTATACTTTGTCTCCCTGCTGTGCGCAGGTCTGGAGCACTGCATGCGTTTTAAGCGATAACCCGGGTGTTTTAATACATCAGAAGCCATTATCTTTTTCCAGATTCCTTCCTAAATGACTGTTTAAGAAGCATCATAAAGAAGCATCATAAAGATAATTTGATAATTCTTGTAGTCTAGAACAGTGTTTTGCTCACTCTCAACAGCTGTGTTCTGCATTCAAATTAAAAAAGGGGGAGAGGAGAATAGTAATAGATTTCACAATTTCTGAAAGAATTCTATTTAACCCCTGACGTTTTAATCTTTCACTGAAAGAGAGGAGCATATCTAAACTTGGTTATGAAGCCTGTAGAAAGTCAAACGGAGCTCTGGGATTGGGTCTGCCTAAAACGCGCCAACTTAAGCCACCTTCACCGGAGCACCAGCCGAGGTGCGGGTTAGGAGCGTCAGTGCGGCCGAAGGAGGTGGCGCCTGTGCGATGACCAGCGTCTTGCCTTGGTCCTGAGGGATTTGGGGAAATAGAGGTGCAAAAGGCGGGCCTGCCTTCATTTCCACAAGTGAGTTCCGGCGACCTCAAGGTCAGTTATGAGTCCCTAGGGCGGCAGGGAAGGTGAGGAGGAGAATTTGGGAGACAAGATTGTAACTTGCTGCCTTGCTGACCAGGCCTAAATTCGGAGGCGCTGCCGCTTTCTCTCAAAAGAAATACTGCGTGCGGCCACAAGTTCACCTTACCGCGCCCTCGACAGTACGCGCGGCTCAGCTCCCTTGACGTCCGCGAACACTCGGGGCCCTCCGCCCCCAGGGCCAAGAGGCGGAAGTGAGCAGTGCCGAAGAGGCTGGGATGCCAGCCTCTACTTCCAGGCCCGGTCCGCGCCGGTCCGCGCCGGCCCGCGCCGGCCCGCGCCCGCCTCTGCTGCCCCCTGCCGGCTGCGCCCTAGGCTTTCGGCACCTTGGCCGCCGGGGTTGGGTCGCGGGGCGATTACCTCTTGGGGATATCAAAGGCCTGGCACGCGGCTGGGCGCGGCGGCCTAGCACCTTTGGTCTTCCCATAGCGGATCAGGTCTTGGAAAAGCGGGCAGCCCGGGAACAGGCCCGCCGGCACCAGCTGCAGCAGCAGGGTGACCAAGAAGGCGGCGGCCAGCGTGAGCCACACCGCGCTTAGCGGGTTCAGCGTGGAGAGCTCGGCTCCAGCCCAGGGAGCCATGGCCAGCGCGACAGGCCTGTGCAGCCAGCCCGCGCTGGAGTAGCTGCTCGCGCGCCAGTCAAAGCCGGGCGGGACGTCCGTGATGTGACGCGGGGGCGGGGGCGGGGGCGGGGACGCGTAGGACCCCGCCCGAGACTGGCGGCCTCCGGAAGAGGCACCGCCCGGTAGTGCGGGTTCGTGGGGTTAGGTCACGCTGGTCCTGGCTTGTCGTTCTCAGTCCCTCCTTCACACGGTGATCCATACCTAGATGGAACCTCACAATACGATTCAACGGAGACAAACCACGTGCCTACAAGTGTTCATTGTAGTATTACCTCCAATGTACATGTACCACTTCACCCGGTTGCCGTAGAGTCGATTGCGACTCATAGCGACCCTATTAGGGAATTAAAAGAAGGAGCTCCAGTGACACAAATGTTAAGCGTTGAGCTGCTGACCCAAACGTTGGCGGCTCCACGGGAGAAAGACCTGGCGATCTGCTCTAGTAAAGATTAAAAATAAAATAAAATAAAAAACCCGTTGCCCCGAAGTCAACTGGAACTCATAGTGAACTATAGGACAGAGTAGGACTGCCCCCCGTAGGGTTTCCAAGGAGTGGCTGGTGGATTCAAACTGCCGATCTTTCTGTTAGCAGCTGAGCTCTTAACCACTGCACCAGGTTACAGCCGAGAAAACCCTATGGGGCAGTTCTGCTCTGTCACATGGGTCACTATGAGTGGGAATCAACTCTGTCGCAGACAACAACAGGGAATTTAGTTAAATTATGGTGCATTAACATGTTGGAAGGAGTCCCTGGGAGGTGCAAATGGTTAACACACTAGGCTGCTAACTGAAATTTTGGAGGTTTCAATCTACCCAAACCCTGTGGAGCACAGTTCTATTCTGACACATACGGGGTCACCATGTCAATTGAGGGCAACTAGTTTTTGTTTTAAACACATTGGAATACACGCAGCCATTAACGTTATAATTATGAAAGCTGTAGAAGCATGGAAAGCTTCTAATGATAACAAACTATGTTAAGTGAAAGAAGCAGATTATAAAAACAACTAGCATATAAATATGAGTGCTTGTATATATGGATAAAGAAAGCAGGTCATACACAAAAATTAATAGTTGTATTAGGATGTTGGGAATGTGGATAATTTAAACATGTAAGGTACAGTTTTGGCTTTCTTTTTTGGAAATCATCAAAGTATTTGCACATAATACAAAAATGAAATAGTGGTAAAAATTATATTTAAAAAACGAAGTCCCTTGCTGTCTTCGGCTGGGTTCTCTAGGGAAGCAAAACCAGTGACGCATATAAACATATATATATACACAGAGATTCATATCAAGGAAATGGCTCGTGTGGTTGTTGTTGTTGTCAGGTGCCATCGAGTTGATTCCGACTCATAGTGACCCTATGTACAAAAGAACGAAACACTGCTCAGTCCTGTGCCATCCTCACAATCGTTTCTATGTTTCAGCCCCTTGCTGCAGCCACTGTGTTAATCCATCTCATTGAGGGGCTTTCTCTTTTTCGATGATCCTCTGTTTTACCAAGCATAATGTCCTTCTCCAGGGACTACTCCCTTCTGATAACATGTCCAAAGTATGTGAGACGAAGTTTCACCATCCTTGCTTCTAATGAGCGTTCTGGCTGTACTTCTTCCAAGACAGATTCGTTCTTGCTTCTGGCAGTCCATGGTATGTTTAATATTCTTCTATAACAACTTATTTCAAAGGCATCGATTCTTCTTCGGTCTTTGTTATTCATTGTTCAGCTTTCTCGGGCAGATGAGGCGATTCAGAACAACATGGCTTGGGTTAGACACACCTTAGTCCTTTGAGTCACATCTTTGCTTTTTAACACTTAAAAGAGATCTCTTGCAGGAGATTTGCCCAATGCAATGCGTTGTCTGATTTCTTGACTGCCGCTCCCATGAAGATTGATTGTGGATCCAAGCAAAATGAAATCCTTGATAAACTTCAGTCTTTTTTCCGTTTATTGTCATGTTGCTTATTGGTCCAGTTTTCAGGATTTTTGTTTTATTTGAGATGTAATCCATACTGAAGGCTATAGTCTTTGATCTTCATCAGTAAGTGCTTCAAGTCCTCTTCACTTTCAGCAAGCAAAGTTGTGTCATCTGCATATCGCAGGTTGTTAATGAGTCTTCCTCCAATCCTGACGCTCTGTTCTTCTTCATATAGTCCAGCTTCTTGGATTATTTGCTCAGCATACAGATTGAATAAGGATGGTGAAAGGATACAACCCTGATGCACACCTTTCCTGATTTTAAGCCACGGAGTATCCCCTTGTTCTGTTCAAACCACTGCCTCTTGATCTGTGTACAGGTTCCTCATGAGCACAGTTAAGTGTTCTGGAATGTTATCCATAATCTGTTATGATCCACACAGTTGAATGCCTTTTCATAGTCCATAAAACACAGGTAAACATCTTTCTAGTATTCTCTGTTTTCAGCCAAGATCCATCTGACATCAGCAATGATATCCCTCATTCCATGTCCTCTTCTGAATCCGACTTGAATTTCTGGCAGTTCTCTGTCCATGTACTGTTGTAACTGCTTTTGAATGATCTTCAGCAAAATTTTACTTGTGTGTGATATTAATGATATTTTTCAATAATTTCCATATTCTGTTGGATCTCCTTTCTTTGGAGTGGGTACAAATATGCATCTCTTCCAGTCGGTTGGCCAGGTAGCTGTCTTCCAAATTTCCTGGTATCCCGATGAGTTAGCGCTTCCAGCACTGCATCCGTTTGTTGAAACATCTCGATCAGTATTCCGTCCATTCCCGGAGCCTTGCATTTTGCCAATGCCTTCAGTGCAGCTTGGACTTCTTCTTTCAGTACCATTGGTTCTTGATCATATGCTATCTCCTGAAATGGTTGAACGCCAACCAGTTCTTTTTGGTACAGTGACTCTGTGTATTCCTTCCATCTTCTTTTGATACTTTCTTCATCATTTAATGTTTTCCCCGTAGAATCCTTCACTATTGCAACTTGAGGCTGGAATTTTTTCTTCAGTTTTTTTTTAGTTTGAGAAATGCTGAGGGTATTCTTCCCTTTTGGTTTTCTATCTCCAGGTCTTTGTGCATTTTATTATAATCCTTTGCACAGTTGTAGAGGTTGGAAAGTCCCAAGTCCATGGATCAGGCTGTAGGCTTCTCCTGACTCACGTAGCTGCAGGATCTGGTGAGCCCAAGATTGACAGGTCAGATAGCAGGCCTCTGGCTCACAGGCTGCACAGGCTGAGGAATACCAAGATCAGCAGGTAAGCTGCTAGCTCAAGGCGCAAGAACCCGAGGTCAGATGAATAGGAGCCAGCTGTAGGATCCAAAGCGAGCAAAAGCCTGTGAGCTTTGCCGGAAATTTCACCTATATTGGATGCAGGCCACACCCCCAAGGAAACTCCCTTTCAACTGACCGACTGCTCATAACAGATCTCATCATGGAAGTGATTACATTACATTAGATCTCATTATGGAGGTAATTACATCATTACATAGCTACCAAACTACATCATAACTGCCAAACCACTAAGAATCATGGTCCAGCCAAGTTGACACACAACCTTAACCATCACAGTTGCCCACTAAGGAGTTCCACTACCCAAAAGCAACACCTTTAACTCCATCAGCTATTTTTTTTCTGATATTTGCCTCCATGTAATGACAGTGTTGTGTGGTGGATTGCATGTGGCTGTGATGCTGGAAGCGGTGCCACTGGTACTTCAAATATGATCAAGTTCACCCCTGGTGGACAGGTTTCAGCGGAGCTTTCAGACTAAGACAAACTTGGAAGAAAAGGCCTGTTGATCTACTTCCAGAAATTAGCCAGTGAAAACTGCATGGATCGCAGAATATTGTCTGAGAGTTCAACTTGCTTACTTTGGACAAGTCATCAGGAGGACCAACCGCTGGAGAAAGACATTATGTTTGTTAAACTGGAGGGCCAGCAAACAGTGAGGGAAACCCTCATTGAGCTGGATTGACATAATGGCCACCACAATGGACTCAAACATACCAGTGATCATGAAGATGGTGCAAGAACAGACAATGTTTCATTCAGTTACACATGGGGTTGCCCCGAGGAGTTGGAGACATCTCAAAGGCAACTAACAACACGTGGCAGTGTTATTTCTTGATTAATTAGTTTTAAACAATATTGATTTTCTGTTGTTCTCCATGAAAATTTAGTTCTTTTAGGTAATTTTTAAAAAAGCTTTTAAAATGTTGATTCAAAAAAGGTGTTTTTTTTTTTTCTTTCTTTCTTGTATGTCTACTATATGCCAGGCATCATTCTGGACTCTGAGGACAGACAGGTTTACAAGACAATGTTGCTGCATCTTTGGAGCTTAAATTGTAGAGACCGTGTGGTGGGTGAAGGGTAGGAGAAGGGAGAGGTGGCAAACTCATCACCCTTACCCCAGTGAGATACTGTACACGTATGTTAAGTAACTATCAGGAACTGTGTTGGTAAGTTAATGGCGCTTCAACAATCCTTTGGATTGTTAAACGTGCCAGCTTTTTAGATTTTTACTTCTTTGTGCAAGGATGCTTAAGGCTTTACCAATACCCCGAGGGCCCTATGGAACCCTGGTGGCGCTGTGGTTAAGAGCTTGGCTGTTAACCAAAAGCTCTGCAGTTTGAATCCACCAGCTGCTTCCTGGAAACCCTGTGGGGCAGTTCTATTCTGCCCCGTAAGGTCGCTGAGTTAGAATTGACTCAATGGCAATGGGTTTGGTTTTGAGAGCCCTATGATAAGGTATAGTCAAATTGCCCTTCCAGGAAGGACAATGAGCCTCTTTGTGTGACCCCAGCATCTCTTCTTCAGGAGTCACCCCTTTGTTGTTTCTTTACTGTTCTTACATTAACCCTGCAGAAATACAGCTGGCCCCATAAAGAGAAACGAAGTTCTGATCCATGCTACAACATGGATGAACCTTGAAAACATTATGCTGAGTGAAGTAAGTCAATCACAAAAGGACAAATATTGTATCATATCACGTATTTGAAATATCTAGAATAGGC